GGTTTGCAGCACCATTTGTTAAAACACCATGTGTTGGAGTGGGGCTGATCCATTTGTAAGATGCACTGAGCACTAATACATGGGAATACCATGCATTTATCTACCTGTCTTTCCTCTAGAGTTGTTCTGAGAAGGTTTTCACTGACAACGCAGCAGAAATAAATGTATATGACTTCCTATAAAATAAAATTCAAGTAAAACTATAAATATTCAAATGCTGAGACTGCAGCAAGACTAGAACATCACTAGAAAAGCCAAACATAGGCTGAAATGGAGGGTTTATGTTTACCTTGCTACACATTCTGTTGGCCCACCATCTCTATGCTTATTGCATAAGAGAGCCACAGGGCGGGGTGAGAGCTCACATAACCAGTCCCTGGTTTTCTGCGTCAGAAACAATTTCAAATTCTCTGCTTAGACAGAGTAAGAAAATTAACTGAAAGATGTTGAATGTGAAGTTGGCATCTACAAAGTCGGACAGTGAGTAATAAATGTCAACATCACGGAATCCAAGGAGATTGTATCGTTTTACACAGAAATGCCCCACTCTGCATTGCTGAAGAAGGCGGGTCCCTTCAGGGGAACTTTATGATGAAGAGAAAAACGCTATATGATGTAGAGGTTTTCTGCTGCAGCCCTAAACTGCACTGTCCTTCTTTCTAACTGAAGTTCTCACAAAGTTGTATAGCTTCAATGGTTGCACCTGGGCCCAACTTTTGTTTTTCTGATGTTGTTTGTTAGAGCTCCTGGATGGGGCTTAGAGAAGCGACTTGGATATTTTGCAAAAATTATATTTCTTTAATGGAATTTGAAATCCATGAATACTCTGCTTTTCTGCCGTATCCCCAGAGCAGGGTGAACACCTTGCACTTCTTTTCAGAACGTCACTAGGGGTGGTACAAGATTTGGAGCTAGGGCCTCCCTTGATCTCTACCTTTCTTTAATTCAGAGGATCAGAAGCTGTTGGGGGAAGAACTGTGTCTTGTGCCCCTCCTGATCTGGTTAATATTACTATTCAATGTCCTGTGAGGAAGTCACGTGTGCAACTAACATCACTTCTGCACGCAGTGTCATGGGAGAGTGGGTTCCTGGGCCCCAGGTTAAGAGCATAAGCACTACAGGCACGGACCTAGAGCTCTGGGAGGGGAGGGATGGCTGGGATGGAACCTAGTCTTGTCCTTTAGTCCTGGGGCCTTTTCACTCTTCACATGGTGGGTGGTGGGCATCTGGCAGGTGCTGATGTTAATGGAGTCGAGGGAGGACACTGGCCAGGACTGGGAAAGCGGGATTGGAGAGATAATTAGGGCAGACATTATTTTTTCTGAGCGTTAAGTCATGGCTTGAAATGTGGAGGGCCTGGAGGTGTATCTCCCTGCCCAAAGCTGTTTTTGCCTTTTCCCACAAGGCTCATTTAGCCACAGGCCTAGTGTCAACACCAGGGGGCGCCCACAGACCATGAAGGCACCGCGCAGCCCGGATTGTCTGTGGTACTGGGTCCTTGACTTGACCAGGAAGACAAGACTTTGCAGCCAGGCCGCCTGGATTCAACCTGCAGCTCTGGTCCTACTGACACTTTTCCTCCTGGTGCCTCAGTTTTAAAATCTGTGAAACGGTGAGGACATTACAGCACTTACTTCTGGCGTGGGTTTCTCAACAGCAGCACTGTTAACCATTTAGGGCAGAGAGTCCTTGTGGAGTGGGCTGTCCCGTGCATTGCGGGAGGTTTACCAGCAGCACCCCACTCACTCACTCCCACCAATCCCCATATGGCAACTGAAAATGTCCCAGGATTTTGAGGTCTCCCTTGTGTCTAGCAGCTGCCGTTCCTCAGGCATTTTCCCACCTGACACTTGAGCTCATCTCTGCTTTGGTCCACATAAGGCCACTTTAAAAAAAGTTGTTTCTTTAAAGATTCTATCCATCTTTTAAACAAATGCATTTTCTTCCTTTATGTCTGCATTCAGTTAATTCTTCCACACTCTTTGTTTAGTATATCTTGAAATGTATCAATTCCAGTTCTAGTAACTAGCATATCTGACTTGCGTGGTACCTGCTATGACCCCTAGTAGAGCTCTGATTCCTTTCGCCCAGGGAATGCATTCTCGATTCTGCTCTGGATGATGGAAATCAATTTAATATACGTTATTTGTTTGAAATGTTGCTCCTCATCTGTAAAATGTACATGTGGATATGACTTGAATTACTAAGTGGTTTTATTTCTTCATTCCTCTGATATTTGTTGTGCATCTACTGTAAGTCATATACATGGCATGACATGGCTTCCTTGATCACACCAGATCAAATGAGAAAATGAGACGTTCTAGCCAGGTGTATTGGCACATGTCTGTAGTCCTAGCTATGTGTAAGGCTGAGGCAGGAGAATTGCTTCAGCCCAGAATTTCGAGGTTACACTGAGGTATTTCAGTCTGGGCAATACACCCTGTTTCTTAAAAAAAATAAAAAGATATGGTAAGCTGTCTACATGTACTCTATGTCTCAGGAGATTCACGTCATCTAATTTTTCTAAATGGCATCTCCGTGTGATTTTCATAAATGTTTGTCTGGTATTTGTTTTCTACCCTTTTCCTTTCAGTTTTTGTATCTCCTACTGAAATTATGGCTTTTGTAAACAGCCAACAGTTATTTATATATTGACTTATTTTCCCCCTCTGCACTATTTGTCTTGTTATTGGAGTGTGTGAGTCCCTTATGTTTAATGTCATTGTTGACCTTATTGGGCTTAAGTCTGTACATTGTCATTTGCTGTCTTCTAATATTGTCTCTTTTTTGTTCAACAATTTTTCTTCCATTGCAGTCTTTAGATGAATAAAACACTTTACATTATTGTAGTCTTCTGAATGTGTTCTAGTTACAAATTCATTTATCATTACTTTAATTATCTGAGAAAGCACAATAATCCATGACTTATTATAACTGACAGCAGACCATAACTTCCCTGACTTCCACCTACCTGTGCAGACAGCCCAGGGGAGAAGCAGTGCTCTGGCTCTGAGACACAGGGGGTGGAAGCAGGAGAGTAACTGGGTGGTGAAGCTGTAGCTGCAGAGGCATCCGGGCCCCTCACCTGCACTCCTCGTAGATGTCTCCTCCACTGAATGCCTGCGATGCCCTCTCCTCCGTATGCTCCTGCCAGAGTCTCCCCGTCTCCACGGACAGCAGCTCCACCCTTCTACTCACTCAGTCCAACACTGTGGGTGTCCTTGATTCTTCTTTCTCACACCACAGACGCAATCCATTAGCAAGTGCTGTGAAGTCCATCTTCAAATTCATCCGGAATCGCATCACTTCCCACCATTTCCCCTGCTCACGACCCAGTCAAGGTAACCAGCGTCTCCATCCTGGAATACTGCTCTCCTTCCCCAGCATTTCCCTACTGCCTCACTTGTCCCCCACCTCTCAATTCTGTTCTCAGCAAAGCAGCCGGAGAGAAGCTTTCAAAGGATAAGTCCCACCATGTCCCACTTTTCAAAACTGTCCTCTAACTCCCCATGTCATTCAGAGCAAAGGTCAAAACCCTTCCCACCCCCTCCAGGCCTCCCTGCTCTGGTCACACTTCTGACCTCATTTCAGTTTTTCTCTGTCCAGCCCTTCTGGCCTCTTCCTCCTTCCAGAAACACAGACACTTTCCTGCCCTAGTGCAACTGCACTGAAGCTTCCTGCCTGGAAAGAGCTTTCCCAGTCATCCTTGTGGACAGCTCCTCACATCCCTCAAGTCTTCACTCAAAGGTCAAATTTACAAGCCCCATGCTGACCACCCAGCAGAGCAGCCACCCCCCTGTCCCCACAGCCCACACTCTGGATCACCTGCCCCACAGCACTTGCCACCTTCTAACTCAAGCATTTTCTGCTCTTACTCTGTTTATACTGTCTCTATCATCTGCCTACAGAGGTGTCCAGTCTTTTGGCTTCCCTGAACCACGTGGGAAGAAGAAGAATTGTCTTGAGGCACACATAAAGTACACTAATGATAGCTGATGAGCAGAAAATAATCAAAAAAAGAAAAAAAGTACACGCATAATTTGTATGATGTCTGCCACCACAGATAAGCAAAATCGACTTCACATTCGAAGCTGTCTTGGGCCACATGCAGCCTGTGAGTCGCAGGTTGGACAAGCTTGCATCTAGAACATATACACTGGAAGGCTGAAATTTTTTCTGTTTTAACTTTAATGATGTTTTCTAAATGCGAAAACAATCATATAGCTAACAGACAACAAATGTCAGTGGAATGAATTATCACTGTAGGGCACCTCCCTATTCTAAAGGCAATATCTTTATTAATGTAGCCTCAGGCCAAATGCTGTTTTGTGGCAGCTACAGAACAACCTCATCTCACACTGACATCAGTGCTGCCAGAGCTTTTCTCACCAGGGCTGCGTGTGTGCCCTCCCTCCCTCCCTCCCTCCTCCCACACCAGCCCTCCTGCACGCTGCAGCACATAACCATATTTTACTCTTCAGGAAAGATAACCCCAGGCTTATGGGTCCAATTTTTCAACCACGTATGAATATAAGTTAGACTCTGCTTTATAAATTCATGAGTTTGGATTGGAGGCAGCACTAGGATTACTACAACTCAGGCAGGAGAGTTCCAACAGAAAGTTACCTACGATGAAAATCCATGGGACCCCTCTTCACTGCACGTTTCCAAATCTGCTTTCTTTAAGAAGATTGGGGAAATTTGGAAAATACAATCCGGGAAAGAGACATGGAAGGAGGGCAAGAGGTACGGAGGTCTGAAAATGTGTCTCTTCATACCACAACGGTGTTTATGTGTAGGAACCACACTAGGTGACTTTCAAGTCCCTGTGATCACAGGTCGTGGTAAGACAAGGCTCTATTGAAGGATCAAGGGCAATGGAGCAGCAAAGATGACCTAGTCAAGCAGTGACCACATAAAGCCCACAGTGGCCTGCACACCTATTGGACACAGCCCCATCTACTCCATCTCCTGCAACAAATCAGCACAAAAAACACGTGTACTGTGGAAGGTTCTTGGGTCTTCCATTTATTTTGTGTCTCAAATTTCAGGAATCTTCTCTAATTAACTCATTAACCTCTCATGGAAATAATTTGAAAAAGTAAACTATACTCAGATTCTAACGTTAATAGGAAAGTAAGAAGATACAGCTCAGTGCGCCATGAAGTTGAGACAGAGATGGAGACATCGCAACCCCAGGTCTCTGGAACAGGAAAGGTGATGGGGAAGGAATGCAGGTCAGTGTGGGGAAGGGGGTCATGGTGGACACAGGGCCGGGCTGGTCTCCCCACCTCCTCACATTATATCTATAGAGACACAGACACATTCAGATGCCTTTTCAGAAAGAGAAGTCAGGGTTCTTGAAGTCACAAAGGGAAGGTGTGAACAAAAGTTGCCTCTCAGTTTCACACAAGGCAGCTGTCTCACACTATAGAAAAATATTCATGAACAAATTCGTATCAGTCACAGTGAGGGGTGACACTTTAAAGAGCCCATCACATGCTCAATACATCCCACTCCAACAAACCCCATAGCACAGTTGTGTACACTGTTCTCCCCAACACCCACACACATCAGGGTACTCAGGGTCTCACTTTTACAACGTGATGTGAGAGACACATCAGAGCCCTGGGCACTGTCATTGCCTGGGATAGAACAAAAGCAGGACCTGGTCAGAACTCACAGGAGATGCAGCTATAGGAGGAATTGCAGCTGGGTGGGTTCCCCCACGGGCTCCAGACCACAATATCCCAATGATCTCAGGGATCAGCCTCCTTCATACTTACTTGCAGCCTGAGAGTAGCTCCCTCCATTTCTATCTATGGGAAGAAAATATTCTGTGAGAGCCCAGAATGGTGGCAGGGCCATGAGGTCCTAGAGGAACCTCCTAGTCTTGGACCCCAGAGAAGTTTCCAGAAATGTGTGACTGCAGACCCAGGGCAGGATCAGGAAAAACAAGGAAAGCAGCTGTGGGTCCTGGACCAACTGCCCTCCTAAGGACTGTCCTCAGCAGAGACGTTCCCTTGTGACCTGTGACTGCTGGGATCAGGTCCCCATCACCACAGTCATCAAGGTGATACATCTGTCCTTCATTGTCACAGGTGCTTTACACAAGAGGAAGTGCTGGCACACAGGGCCCAGGCTGGGTCGGCTCATGAGTGTGGATGATGCTTCCCAGTAACCAGGCAGGGCACACTTCTACCTGGGGCTTGAAGCCCTCAGTGGGACAAGCAATCTCAGACACCACTCCTCACCCCTTCCTCACCTGAGCTCTTCTTCCTCCACATCACAGCAGTGACCACAGCTCCAGTGACTACAGCTCCAAGGACAGCCAGGCCAGCAATGATGCCCACGATGGGGATGGTGGGCTGGGAGGGCGGCTCTGGGAAAGGAGGGGAAGGTGAGGGGCCCTGATCCCAGGTCCCAGCCCCCAACCCCAACCCAGCTAAAGGTCTCCAGAGGGGCTCCTGCTTTCCTTAAGAGACATGACACCTCATCCTCTCCTTACTCCATCTCAGGGTGAGGGGCTCAGGCAGCCCCTCATGCTGCACATGACATGTGTATCTCTGCTCCTCTTCAGAAGGCACCACCACAGCTACCCACTTCTGGAAGGTTCCATCCCCTGCGAGCCTGGTCTCTATGAGCTCCATGTCTTGGGTCTGGTCCTCCCTATCCTGCTTCCAGGTCAGTGTGATCTCCGCAGGGTAGAAGCCGAGGGCCCAGCACCTCAGGGTGACCTCATGATCAGAGATGGGGTGGTGGGTCATGTGTGTCTTGGGGGGCTCTGAAGGGAAGAGTCAGAAAATTCAGACATCTTGCACCTCTCATGGGACACTGCTGCTGCACCCATGTGACCATCCTGAGAAGGGACAGGATACCTGGTGTGGGGAAGGGAGCACAGAACCCAGACACCAGCCCGGACACAGGCACCTGGGATAATGTCCTGTTCCTTGGAAAGTTCTAGTCTCTGAGCAGGGTAGGAGGGATTGCTGATCCTGTCCTGAGTAGAGGCCAAGGGACTCAGAGGACCTGGAGTCCGACCCCCACACACTTGACTGTGAAGCAGAGAACCAGGCCCGAGAGGAAATGGTTTGGTGCCCAAGGCTGCTGTGGGGTCAAAGGGAAACCCTGATCAGTATTGCAGGGATTGTCTTCACCTCCACTCCCTCAGAGACTTCATCTCTTGATTGTATCACAGAGCAGGGCAGTCCCTCAGAGTCATTCTCTGGCACAGGATCTGGAAACACAGGAGGATTCCTGAGGACCAGAGGGAGGGTGATATTCGAGTGTCGGTCCCATTTTCCTCCCCTACTTGTGCGAGGCCAGCCTGGGACGTCTACCGGAGATCAGGGAGGCGCCCCGTTGCCCCTGGTACCCGCGCGCTCCAGTGTCTCCTTCCCGTTCTCCTGGTGTCTGCGGATCCACTCCAGGCACCCGCCCTCCAGGTAGGCGCTCATCTTCTCCGCCACATTGTCCGCCTCCCACTTGCGCTGGGTGATCTGAGCCCCCAGGTCCGCGGTGGTCCAGGAGCGCAGGTCCTTGTTCAGGGCGAGGTAATCCTTGCCGTCGTAGGCGAACTGATGATACCCGTGGAGAAGGCGCCCTTCGGCCCCAGGTCGCAGCAATACCTTTCCTGGAGGGGGTGAGACCCTGGCTCCGCCCCCGCTCCCGCGGTCACCCCGCCCACCGAGCCCCGCCCCCGCCCAACCTGCGGGGATTTTGGCCTAAACTGGAAACCAAACCGGGTAAAGGGGCTTGGGGCTTTCCCAGGTCGAGGGTCTGGGTGAGTCCCCCAGTCTCGGGGTGGATCTCGGACCCGGAGACTCGGGGTGACCCAGGCCGTCCGTCGGGGACGGGGAGGGGTCGTGACCTGCGCCCGGGACCCGAGTCATTCACCAGCCTCGCTCTGGTTGTAGTAGCCGCGCAGTTTCCTTAGGTTCACTAGGAAACTCTGTGCAGTGTCCTTGAACATCCGTGTCCCCCGGTCCCAATACTCCGGCCCCTCCTTCTCCATCCACGGCGCCCGCGGCCCCATCCTCGGACTCGAGGCGTCGCTGTCGAACCGCGCGATCTGCGTGTCGTCCAGGTAGCCCACGGAGATGAAGTGGGGGTGCTCAAATACCTCATGTGGTGGGAGCCTGGGAGCGAGGCGAGGCTGAGATCCGCCCGACCCTCCTCCCAGCGCGGCTCCCCGGATCCTGCGACCCCGCAGGTCGGGCCCCTCGCTCCTCCCGCAGAGACCATTTCCCTCCCGACCCCGCACTCACCTGCTCAGGTCTCAGTCAGGGCCAGGGCCCCCGAGAGCATCAGGAGGAGGGTTCGGGGCGCCAAGGGAGACTGGGGACTTTAGAACCGGGATCGCGGTGAGCTGATTGGCTTCTCTAGGAACCTGACACCCAGTGGGAGTGGGAACTCGGTTCAGTGTCGTGAGTATCTAGCACGAAGGTCCCGACACCAGTGAGAAGAGGAAGAGAAACTGCGGAGATGAGGAATCCCCAAGCTGCTCCTCCCCAATCCACACACCGCCTTTGGGGCCTGAGACCCTGAGAGCCACGCCTGGGCCCTGGGACTTCGCCGTGACCCCGCTCCTCCTGTGCCAAGCGCTCTGTCTCAATGTCTCCCTGAGTCTGGGCCCAGGAGCTGTCTGAGAAACCAGAGAGAAACACTCAGCATGGGCCCCATCCCTCTCCCTTCACTTTTTATCCCGGAATCCAGGTCCCTGGACTGGACTCCCTGCCTCCCACTCCTTACCTGTCCCCCTGGACTCTTCTAGAAGAAAACTCACCCCAGGAAGCTTGCTGCCAGAGAGTGAGCTCGCCCTGGGAATGGAGGTGTAGAAACAGGGTGTTTTTGTTTGTTTGTTTGTTTGTTAATCCGGTAAAGTTGTGCCTGAACGCATGAGATAGCATAGAAACCAGTTTGCTTTTTGCTTATTAACTACAGTGGGTAGCAGAATCTTGGTAACCCCTGAATGATCAGGAATCTAATCGGTAAAAAATGTGACTTTGGCCCCTTGATATGCAAATGTGTCTAAAAGCATTAAAACAGGACTCAAAAAGTTAAGTTTCACTTTCCCAGACAATGTATGTGTGACTCCAGCTTGTTGTGTTTTAAATTTACCTTCATTCCATAGCCCTGAGTTACTGTGTGGGTCCAGGACATCTCCCCAGTTCAAAGTAGCACACTGTGTTACTGTATGGTGCAACCAGGAGCCAGTGCAGACTTCATTCACCTCACAGTCGCAAGTGTTCAAGGCGGTCACAAGGCCCCTCACCAGCGCTCATGCACTGCCTGTTTTTAGGAAGTGTCCACATCTAAGTGGTGTGTGCTTATTTTATAGGAATGCTTAGTATTTATTTAAACCTGATTAACATAAAAAACAATTAGTTTTTGGGCAGACCTACATAAGGTGTTAAAGGCCAACTGCAAAGAACACCCTTGCAGGCTCTGTAGATGGATGTATTAAAAATCTGTAAAACAATGTGTTAAAACCTAAGAATTCTGTTGCTTTCGATTTCCTTCCCTCTGCTCCTTCTCCTCACCTCCTGCTTCTCCAGCCCTTCCCTCCGTCCCCCTCATCCCTCAGGCCCTCCTCTCCCCTTCGTCCCCACCACCCTGTCACTCCTGAATTGTGGCTCTAGCACTGTCTCATCTGCTACATGACTGTTCCCTCCGCAATGGTCCTGCTATTGTTAATCACAGTGTGTCATTTCTCCACCTAAAACACTCCAGTGGCTCCACCTTGGTCTTGTGAAGCTTCCAGAGTGTGAGGCATGTGAGCATATGAGGGCAGACCTGGTTCATCGTAGGCACTAAATTAATTTTTGTTGACTGAATTAATGAAATATGAGTGTATTAAGTTGCATCACCGAAAATTATAAAATGTAAAACAATGAAAAAGTTAAGAAAGATTTTATTTTATGTAACTAGTATGCATATCAATTCATCAGTTGATTCCATAAGTCTGTTGAGCCTGTGTATGAATTTTATAAGACTGTGTTATTATCGTAAATATTGGCTTTAAACAACACCCATTTATTGTATTCATTCATTTATTTTTAGAGACAAAGTCTCCCTCTGTCATCCAGGGTGAAGTGCAGTCACATGATCATGGCTCACTGCAGCCTCAAACTCAAGGGGCCCTCCTGCCTCTGTCTTCAGAGTAGCTAGGACTGCAAGTACCACCATGCTCAACTAATTAAAGAAAAAAAAAAACTGTAGAGATGACTGTCTCACTATATTATCCTACTGGTCTCAAACTCCTGGTTACAAGTGGTCCTCCTGTGTCAGCTCCTCAAATGTTACAATTACAGGTGTGTGCTACCACCCCTGGCCTAACAACACCCATTTATCTATTTATAGTTCCTTAGTCAGATATCCCAGGATGATGTGGATGGAATCTCTGTTCTGTGCTTCCCAAAGCTGTGTTTTCATTTTGAATCCTCCTTCAGGCTTCTACAGAGGAGGCAGAATGCAGTTTCTGGCAGTTGTAAGACTGAGATTCCTGTTCCTTGCTGGCTGTCAAGGTAGAGAACAGGGAGGGATGTGGTCAATTCCTGGTGCCCACCAGCGTTCTTTCCCACACAGCTCCTTCATTTTCAAAGCCCACAGTGGAGGAAACCCTTCACACTGAATCCCTCTCACACTGTGAATCTCTATGCTCAGGAAGGACCCAGTCCTTTCAAGGGCTCAGCTGATTAGGACAGTCCAAGCAGGATAAACCCAGCCTAAAAGCAACTAATTGAGGCCCTTAATTATATCTGCTGAATCCCTTCACAGCAGCACCTACATTCAAGTTGGTTGAATAACTGGGGGAAGGTGAATGACCAGGAGGTGGTTGTTGGGGGCCATCATAGAATCAGCCTAGCAAGGTTTGGATCTTCCTTTTGTGTTTAATTGAGACACAGTTGGAAATTGAAGTTCAAGTAAAGTGAGCATTGTGAACGGTAATAAAATACATCCTCTTCAGCCATGGAAATTCTCCTTACCTTTTACAACTAAGTTATATATTTAGTATCTTACAATTAATTTAGGCCAGGTGTGGTGGCTCATGCCTGCAATCCTAGCACTGCGGAAGGCAGAGGAAGGTGGATCCATTGACTCCAGAAATTCAAGATCAGCCTGGGAAACATGGTCAAACCCCCATCTCTGTCAAAAAATTAGAAAATTAGCCAGGCATGGTGGTTCATGCCTGTCATCCCAGCTACTCAGGAGGCTGAGGTCAGAGGACCCCTTGAGCCCAGGAGATCGACACTGTAGTGCATGGTGATCATGCCGCTACATTCCATCACAGGTGACAGAGCGAGACCCTGTCTCAAAGATAACAAGATTGATGATGACAAATTTAGAGCATATGTAAATTAACGTGTGATAATCTATCCTCTCTTGTGAAAATCTATTAGTTACTTACTATTGTGGAACAAATTATGTAAAACTTAGCAGCTCAAAACAACAAATATTCATCATCTCCCGCAGTTTCCAATGGTAAGGAATCCAGGAGAGGTTTGCTGAGTGTTTCTGGGTCAGGGCGTGTCACAAGGTTGCAGTCCAGTACAAGGGCTCCATCATTTGAGTGTTTCACTGGGGCTGCGGATTCAGATGAAACATGGCTCAGTCACATGGCTGTTGGAAAAGGCCTAGTTTCTTATTGTCTGGTTCCAGAAGTCCTCAGTTCTTAGCCACATGGACCTTCCTGCAGGGCTGCTTATGGGACAGCCGCTGGCTTCCCCCAGAGCTCACGATCCCAGAGACAGAGAAAGTAGAAGCTGCAGTGACTTTTATCTTCTACACCCAGAGTCACGAATTGTTATGTCATCATTACTCTATCAGTTAGAAGTTGTATTAGTTCATTCTCCCGCTGCTATAAAGAAATACCTGAGACTGGGTAATTTATAAGAAAAGGAGGTTTAATTGACTCACAGTTCTGCATGGCTGAGGAGTCTGCCTTAGGACACTTACAATCATGGCAGAAGTAGAAGCAAACACATCCTTCTTCACATGGTGGCAGGAGAGAGAAATGGAGAGTGAAGCAGGGAAAAGCCCCTTATGGAACCATCAGATCTCATGAGAATTCACTCACTATCGTTAGAACAACATAGGGGAACCGTCCCTGTGATCCAATCACCTGTGATGTGGTCCCACCCCCAATATGTCAGATTACAATTCGTAAGACACTTCAAGATGAGATTTGCGTGGGAACACAGAGCCAGGCCATATCAGAAGTGCATCATTAAATCCAAGCCACACTCAAGAGAGATAATTAAGCTGCACCTCTGGAAGGCAGCAGTATTAAAGGATTTGCATATGTGTTAAAAGCAAAGTTAAAACTGTTGTTTCAAGATTTTGTAACTCAACGGCTTTTTTTATCTAATTGTTTTTCATTAATGCTTTAAGCTTGTCTTTTAATTTAATTAATTTTAAGTTCCAGGGTACAAGTGCAGGTTTGTTACATAAGTAAGCGTGTGCCATGGTGGTTTGCTGCCCCTATCAACCCATCATCTAGGTATTAATCCCGGCATGCATTAGCTATTTTCCCTAATGCTCCCGCCACCACTGCCCAACCCCAACAGGCCCCAGTGTGTGTTGTTCCTTTCCCCTTTTCCATGTGTTCTCATTGCTCAGCTCCCAATTATATTTAAGAACATATGGTGTTTGGTTTTCTGTCGTATGTTAATTTGCTGAGGATAATGGCTTTCAGCTTCATCCATATCTTTTGATGCAGCCATAAAAAGAAATGAAATCAAGCAAAGGACTTGATTCCATTTCTTTTTATGGCTGCATAATAGTCTATGGTGTATATGTATCATCTTTTCTTTACCCAGTTCATCATTGATGGGCATTTGGGTTGATTCTATGTCTTTGCTATTGTGAATAGTGCTGTAATGAACATACACATGCACGTATCTTTATAAAAGAATGATTTATATTCCATTGGGTATATACCCTGTAATAGGATGGCTGGGTCAAATGGTATTTCCAGTTCTAAAATTTGAGGAATTGCCACACTGTCTTTCCCAATCATGGAACAAATTTATGTTTCCACCAAGAACATAAAAACATTCCTATTTTTCTGCAACCTTGTTCCAACTCCTGTGTTCTCAATGGGAAGACTGGAATGTTTCCTTCCAACTTCATCAAGGAATTGTCAGGTTAGTCAGATAAGCTTGGCATTTCCCAGGATGAGCATCTGTCCAAGTCAAGTTTAAGGGAAACCACAGGCTCTGAGAGTGATAGAGGTATCTCAAGCAGCACCAAGTCTGAAGGTGCCGACGGGACAGTGGTGACTGCAGCAATCCAATCCCAAAAAGTTAAAGGAGTGGGCTTTGGAGATATTTTCAAAAACAAGCCAATCAAACTAAGACAAGATCAACTGAAGTAGAAAATGACTTTCTGCTGGGCGAAAAGACTATTGGGAAGAAGTTACCTACGACTCTGGCAACTCCAGACTCCTTGAAAACAGAAATGGGCAGCAGGACAAAGAGCAAGGATTACTGCAAAGTAGTATTTCCATATGAGGCACAGAATAGTGATGAAATGACAATCAGAGAAGGAGACATAGTCACTCTCATCAGTAAGGACTGCACTGAGGTAGGCTGGTGGGAAGGAAAGCTGAACGGCAGAGGAGGCGTTTTTCCTGATAACGTCGTGAAGTTATTTCCACCGGACTTTGAAAAGGAAGGGAATAGACCCAAGAAACCACCGCCTCCATTCACTCCTGTCATCAAACAAGGGACAGGTACCACTGAGAGAAAACATGAACTTAAAAAGGTACCTCCTGAAAGACCAGAAATGCTTCCCAAAGAACAGAAGAAAAAGAAAGACCAGAGACAGAACCAAAACTGGATTTACAGAAGCCCTCCATTCCTGCCATACCACCAAAAAAGCCCCGGTCATGTAAAACCAATTCTCTCAGCAGACCTGTCACACTGTCCCCAAGGCCAGAGCTACCAGTGGGTCTGCTGACACACACCAGGGGTGATGGTCTGAAGACTGACTTGGGGGGCAGTTTGCTGCTTGGCATCTTGGACAAAGATCTCTCAGACCGCAGCAATGACATTGACCTAGAAGGTTTTGACTCCGTGGTGTCATACTGAGAAACTCAGTCATCTGACCACAAGCAGACCAAAAGCTACGGGGAGGCGGCCGCCATCCCAGTCCCTCACATCTTCATCCCTGTCAAGCCCTGATATCTTCGACTCCCCAAGTCCCAAAGAGGATAAGGAGGAACACATTCCTCTTGCTCACAGAGGAGTGGATGCGCCAAAGAAAACTTCCAAGTCTGTTACCATATCCCAAGTGTCCGAAAACAAAGCATCCCTGCTGCCCAAGCCGGGGACAGTGGCAGCAGCTAGTGGTGGGCCAGCCTCTCTGTCCTTGGTTGCCTCCTCCCCATTGTCATCCTGTTTGGGAACAGCTGGACACAGAGCCAACTCTCCGTCTCTGTTCCACACGGAAGGAAAACCAAAGATGGAGCCTGTGGCCAGCAGCCAGGCGGCAGTGAATGAGCTAAGGACACAGGTCCGAGAGGGGAAGAGCATCATCGAGAACATGAAGGACCAGCAGAAACGAGAGATTAAACAGTTATTGTCTGAGTTGGATGAAGAGAAGAAAATCTGGCTTCGGTTGCAGATGGAAGTAAATGACAAAAAGAAAGCTCTACAATCAAAATCAATACTTGATCAATGAAATGTCACATTATTCATCCTGAGTCCGAGACTCAAATTTTCTGCCCCAGCCAAAATAATTTTGTGCCAAAAGATTAACATTTTGCCTCAACATGGTCCTCTTTGAAAGATTAGCACAAAAGTCTTGATAGAACAACACAGATTCCATCCAAGAGGAGAATCTTCCCCCTGGTTTAGTCCCGGGGCCGGCACTCGTTGTGACTTACACAGAGCAAAATTGTGCTAAAGGCTTTTCTACTCTGAGATCTCAATGTGAAATGAAAACTCAGGCAGTTTAGTCCATAGTGGTACTAATTTGATGATATTTTCCATTAATAAAATGTAATTTCAGACTTAAAAAAATTTTAATAAAAATTTATTTTTTTATTTTGCATACTTTAATTTCAGAACAAAATGAACAGACAAACAAAAAAAGCCCCACAATACACAACATCCAATCCTGCTATCAGAGTAGGGAAAGAATGGGGACTTGACACCCTTGTTTCCTGCCTTCAACAGAAGGACAGGAGAGAAAAAAAATACCAGACATCAGCGTAGGGAGCCAGGTGGGACAGGGGCACCCAAGGCTGCAGTGGGAGCCATGGGGACACTATACAAGGGCAGTTTTCCAACTACGAACCCCTAATCTACTTCTTCCATGCGAGACGCATCCTCATCATCCTCAAGAGGGGAGATCTCATCAGGAACTGCAGCACTGGGTTCCTCTGCTGCCACTTCATCTTCATCGATACGTAGACCTAGCTTGATCATGCAGTAGATGCAGTTGGAGTGGGTTTGGGGATTCTCAAGGGAAAAGCCAGAAGAGAGCAGGGTGGTTTCAAACAGCAGCACGACAAGGTCCTTGACTGCCTTGTCATTCTTGTCTGCCTCAGCCCTCTGCTGCAGCATCTCCACAATAGGGTGGTCAGGGTTGATCTCCAGGTGCTTTTTGGCCATCATGTAGCCCATGGTGGAGTTGTCCCGAAGTCCCTGAGCTTTCCTAATCTGCTCCATATTGGCTGTCCAGCCGTAAGTGCTGGTCACAATGCAGCAGGGTGAAGACACAAGTCTACTGGAGATTGTCACCTTCTCAATCTTCTTATTTAAGATTTATTTCATGAGCTTGCAGAGGTTCTCAAAGTTTGCCATGCTCCATTCCATTTTCTTCTTTTCCTCCTCATCCTCCGGTATCTGCAGACCCTCCTTGGTAACTGAGACAAGGCTCTTCCCATCAAACTCCTTTAGCTGCTGCACACAGTATTTGTCAATGGGCTCAGTCACATATACCACCTCGAAGCCACACTCTCTCCACAAAAGCTGAGTTGGCCACCTGCTCTTTACTCTCACCAGTGATGTAATAGATGGACTTCTGTGTCTCCTTCATGTGAGAAACATACTCTGACAGAGATGTCATCTCCTCTCCAGACTGGGAGGTGTGATAGCGCAGCAGGTCAGACAGGCGGCGTTGATTAGTGGAATCCTCATGAATTCCAAGCTTGAGATTTTTAGAGAATGCCTCATAGAATTTCTTGTAAGTTTCCTTGTCTTCCACCAGCTCAGAGAAGAGCTCAAGGCACTTCTTCTTTTTTTTCCCATTTATTTATTTTATTGCATTTTAGGTTTTGGGGTACATGTGAAGAACATGCAAGATTGTTGCATAGTTACACACGTGGCAGTGTGATTTGCTGCCTTCCTCCCCATCACCTATATCTGGCATCTCTCCTGGCACTTCTTAACAATGTTTTTGCGAATGACTTTCAAGATTTTGCTCTGCTGGAGCATTTCTCGGGAGTTGTTCAGAGGTAAATCCTCAGTCAACCCCACCACGGATAAAGTTGAGATACTCTGGTATCAGCTCATCACAGCTGTCCATGATGAATACACGATGGACATAGGGTTTGATGTTGTTCTTTTTCTTCTTGTTCTCAAAAAGGTCAAAGGGAGGTTGCTTTTCATACTGATGAGGTATGAACAGCAATGCCCTGAATTCCAACTGACCTTCTACAGAAAAGTGCTTGACTCCCAAGTGGTCTTCCCAGTCATTGGTGAGGTTTGTAGAATTCTCCATACTCCTCTTGAATAATGTTATCAGGGTTTCTGGTCCAAATAGGCTTGGTCTTGTTTAGTTCTTCCTGATCAATGTATTTCTCTTTGATCTTCTTAGTTTTCTTCTTCTTATCCTTACCGCTATCATCCTCATCTGAACCCACATCTTCAGTCTTGGGCTTTTCTCACCATCTTTATCTTCCTTTTCTTTCTCACCTTTCTCTTCCTCTGCCTCATCATCACTAATTTCCTTCTCTTGTTGCTTCTCCAAATAAAGGGTGACAGGACAGCCTATGAACTGAGAGTGCTTCTTCACCACTTCTTGACCCGCCTTTCTTCTAAGTACTCTGTCTGATCTTCTTTAAGGTAGAGGATCACTTTAGTACCCCTGCCAATGAGCTCACCATGGTCAGCACGCACAGCGAAGGAACCTCCAGCAGAAGACTCCCAGGCATACTGTTCATCGTCGTTGTGCTTTGTGATCACGACCACATTCTCTGCCACCAGGTAGGCAGAATAAAAGCCAACACCAAATTGCCCAATCATGGAGATGTCTGCACCAGCCTAAAGAACCTCCATGAATGCTTGAGTACCAGGCTTGGCAATGGTTTCCAAATTATTTATGAGATCTGCTTTGGTCATGCCAATGCCTGTGTCTACCAAAGTCAAGGTACGTTTCTGATGGTTGGGGATAATTTCAATTTTCAGCTCTTTACCACTGTCCAACTTGGAAGGGTCTGTCAGGCTCTCATAGCAAATCTTGTCCAAGGCATCAGAAGCATTAGAGATCAACTCCCGAAGGAAAATCTCCTTGTTGAAATAGCAGGTATTGCTGATGGGAGACATGAGTTGGGCAATTTCTGCCTGAAAGGCAAAAGTTTCCACCTCCTCCTCTCCATGGTGCACTTCCTCAGGCATCTTGAAAAGAAAAGTCTCACAGGTATTAGAAAGCAACGTGGGCTGGTTGTCCAACACACACGAGGCACAAGAGCAGCGCCGGAGTGACTCGAAAGAAATAAAAATTTATTAATAAAAAATTATTAAAACATCAAGGAAAAACAGATAAAATCAGGTATATCTGTTTTTTCTTGACTTTTTAATAATTGCCATTCTGACTGGCATGAGATGGCATCTCATTGTGGTTTTGATTTGCGTTTTTCCAATGATTAGTGATGTTGAGCTTTTTTTCTTATGTTTTTGGCCTCATGTATGTCTTCTTTTGAGAAGTATCTGTTCATATCCTTTGTCAACTTTTTAATGAAGTTGTTTTTATGTAAATTTGCTTATTTGTTGATTCTGAATATTAGACCTTTGTCAGATGAGTAGATTGCAAAAATTTTCTCCCATCCTGTAGCATGTTTGTTTGCTCTGATGATGATTTCTTTTGCTGTGCAGAATTTCTTCTCTTTAATTAGATCCCATATGTCAATTTTTGCTTTTGTGGCAGTTGCTTTGGCAATTTCATCATAAAGTCTTTGCCCAACGTGTATGTCCTGAATGGTATTGCCTAGAGTTTCTTCCAGGGTTTTTATAGTTTTTGGTTTATACTTAAGTATTGAATCCATCTTGAGTTAACTTTTATGTAAGGTGTAAGGAACGGGTCTAGTTTCAATTTTCTGTATATGGCTAGCCAGTACTCTCAACACCATTTATTAAATAGGAAATCCTTTCCCTGTTGCTCATTTTATTTATCACATTTTTTGGAAAGCACATGGTTGTAGATGTGAGGTCTTCTTTCTGAGTTCTGTTTCTGTGCCATTGGTCTACATGCGTTTTTTTTTTTTTTTTTTTT